CAAAAAACAGAAAAACATAAAGCAGAGCAATACTGTAAAAAATTCAATAAAGACTTTAAAAATGGTCCACATTAAACATATATATTTTTTCAAAAAAGAGATGCAAAAAAAAAAAGCCCACAAACATGCACTCAACAGAACAGAGAACCTCTCCTTCTGAGCGTCTATCATCCATAGGCTCAACACCGGGATTATAAAAAGTGGACGGTACCCCCCACCACCCCAAGCAGTTCATAGTCTGGGAGGAGAAAAGGTAAACTAGAGCAACTTCACAAACCCTGATGACAAACTCTGATGTGACCTCAGCAGGAGGAGAAAAACCCAGCAAAACACTTGGTGCCCAGGAGTGGCCTCAGAAAGCACCTCTCCCATCACGGGAACCCTCTTCTTGGGAACTGAGCCCTGGATGCAGGGAAAAGCACACCTGGGCACCCAGGTGAGTCACCTGGTTTAATGCAGTTTAGACTCAGAAAGGCAAAGGGGACGTGACTCAGGTCCCAGAGCTAATGAAATTTAGCAGAACCTGAATCAGACCCATAAACATCTGCTCCCAATCCAGTGCTTTACCAATGAATCATTATGGCCACCTGGGGAGAAGGGGGAGTTTAAACTTGATCTCTTCTGGCCAAGGCCCGCTGCTCAATTTTATCATCACTACAAAGGGATTCCAAGGAACATGTGTTTTAGTATCTCCCAATATTTAAAAATATATTTCAGCATAGTTTTACTTCACATTGAATATCTGTACTCTGTTTCCAAGTGTTTCATTCTGCTGAGCACACAGTAAATGGCTGATGAAGATTCTTTTTTTTTTTTTATTACTCCCCAAGCTGGTAGCTCCTTTTGCTCCCTCAGCCCTGAGTGCACCCTCTTCCGTGATGACAATCACAGTGTGATTGCCAGTTTGACAGTAAGGGTCCTGCAGAGACTGAGCTCATCCTTTTATCCATCAGTGGGTCCCAGCACAATGTAACAAAAGCTTGCTGCATGGCTGACACCGTGCAATACCTACAACTCAAGGGTGCCTTTCAGAGGGTAAGGACCACATCTTCACTGTCTCTGGTTTGTTCAGACGGGTGGGTGGCCAAGTCCATGTGACAGTGGGTTGAAGATCACTTTCCTACAACAATCCCATACAAAGCTTGGCAAACCCGCAAGGCAGGTGTCGTTTTACTGGATGTGTCTATATCTTTTTATATGTTTCCTGTAGGTCATTTGCTCTGTTGAAAACTACCAGCCAAGTTATCAAGAAAAGACTTCAGTTTAACCTCCCAAGGGTAACAGGCTCTTCCCATCTCACGGGTCTGCTGTTTACATATAAATAAGGGCAGGTCCCTGGTGCTGTGTTCCAAACTCCGAGGCTGTTCTTTGGAACTCAGAACAAGTCTTCCCATAGAAACCATCTGCTTCATCACAATAATTCACAGCAAATCAGTAATAAAGTTCATTATTCCATCATTTGTGCTATCACAGGTTTAAAATTACCACCTGGCAAGCTTTATTTCATATTTTGGAAACTAGGAGGAAGAGCATGTGTCTGCTTGCCTCTGTCTTTTCATGTCCCTGGAACAGGAGTGCGTTTAGTACTTGGGGTTGGCCAAGTACAGTTCACCTGCTTTTTTATTTTTTTCCTCTCAACCTTTTTATTGGCAAGAAGACACATTAAGATCTGTGATGATAATGTAAACACTGCAATCATCCTTTCACAATTAAAATTTAGTCATTTTCTTCGTAGTTTAGATAGCTGGGCAGTTATTTCAGTCATGCGAAAATGAGAATATTTCAATAACAGAAGCTAAATTCCCACTACAAGAGGGATCAACGTTCAACATCTTTTGACTATAAGTAAAACTACTTTTTGTGCCTGCAGGACTCCCCGGATCACAAATATTTATTTTAAAATGCATATTTTTTTTGGTAAATGAGGTCTGATGGACTCATGGTCAAGTTCATTGTTCACATACTGTCTAGTGTACAACAAGAGAACTGGAAAAAGCTATGACAAGACTGTGTATCCTATACAGCCTAAAATATTTGCTCTCTGGCCCTTCACACACTGTCTGCCAACTCCTGCTCTCAGAAAGGATGGGCAAACTTGTGAAAGTTAAGTTCTCCCCAAACTAATTAAGGAGAATCAATATCCCAATACATAGGACCTTCTTTTCCTAAATACTCTTTCTTTTTTTTGCCTCTATCACTTAAGATTTTTAAATTTTTCCTCAAGACTCTCAAAGCTTATATGAAAATGTAGACTAGAAAAAGCACTGAATTCTAGAATACATTTTAAAGGTAAATTATCTCATTATGGATCAGAATAAAACAGCATACATGTAAGTGTTAAAGGAAGCTACAAAAATAAGGCTTATACTGTATTAAAATATTTTAATTTACAAATGGATTTGTTACAGAGATTGCAAAAACTACACTACGAATAGCTTACAAAATGTACAAAAAAAAAGAGATCCAAGAATTTTTAAACTGTTAAATACTTAGGGAGTCCAAATCCTCAAAATTTAAACCCTCGATGTTCAAAGAAACACATTATACATACCACGTAAAACTACACTAAAAGAAATAAACAGAAGTGCATGATATTTACATAAAAAATAACTTTAAACAACAGAGGAATGCTATAAGCCCCATGAGCATATTTGAATTAAATTCTTAAATTCGAACCCATTGAACATTTAAAACTAATGTGAAAGTCTGAGTGAAAAAAGGGATTAAAAGAAAAAAAAAAAACAAGGAAAAAGGCAAAATCAAACAGGAAAAACATATCAGTATAAACTAAAATGGAAGGAGTTAAAAGAGATGAAAAGACACACTTTCTAAATTAATTACTTTCTTTTTATTGCCAAGACTTGCAACTAATGTGGCAAACCCATTTACCCTCAGCTGCTCCACTGACGGCATCGAATTCTAAACACTGGCAGTACACATGTGCACAGAACATACTGTAAAAGAGTAACGAAACCACCTGTCCCCGCCTGCGGGTCCACAGCCGCAGCACCGGCAGAGCTTTTACCACCACAGAAATGTTCTCTGCGTGCTGCTGGATACAGAGGCCACCAGCCACCCGTGGGGGTCGAGCACGTGCCACGTGGCCAGTGCAGCTGGACAACTGGGCTTCGGACGTTAATTCACTTATATCTACAGGCCGCACGTGGCTAAGGACTCCAAACCAGATGGGGGCTGAAGCTCTAACAGGTAGCTTCACAGACTGCCACTGCCTTTCAGAAAAGTAAACAGCTTCCTTTGACTGAATATGAATTTACTAACTTTCCTACTTGGGGGCTTCTCAGGTGGCGCCAGGGGGTAAAGAACCTGCCAATGGAGTAGAGGTAAGAAATTGCAGGTTTGATCCCTGGGTCAGGAAGATCCCCTGGAGGAGGGCATGACAACCCACTCCAGTATTCTTGCCTGAAGAATTCCATGGACAGAGGAGCCTGGTGGGCTATGGTCCAGAGTGTCGCAAAGAGTCAGACACGACTAAGTGACTTAGTGCACATGCGCGCACGCACACACACACACACACACACTTCCTACTTAGAAGCATGTTATGACTTCCGTTCACGCAGGTATACACAAGTCCTCTGTTCTCAGTAATCCCATCAGATTTTCCTTCTTTTTCCAGATTTACAACACTAAGCTCCTTTTCTCAGATATTAAGTACAGTTTCACCTTGAACCTGTCATCTGTGTGAGATTTCATAAGCAGAGTTGCGATGGTGTAAAAATTGCTTCACATGATACATAATCAAAATATTTTACTCCTCCTCTTAAAAAAATTAGAGTGAAAACACGCAGAACCTGGAGTGCTGGCATACCGCAGGGACAGGGATCCAGGGAGACAAGGGGCACTGCTGGAAACTGAGGGGAGACACGGCATCAGAGCAGACGGGGCAACCCATGAGTCACCAAAGATGCAGAACAGAATGAGATTTGGGGGAAAAAAAACTAATAAATTAGCTACTAATAAATTTCGTCCATCATTCCTTGTACGAAAACTCCCAAAGCCACATGTATGTCAGGACTCAGAGACACGGTGCACCACAGGTAGCACAGAACACCCCCAAGGGTCTGCCACCAAGGTCTGTGGGTGCCTCGGACCCTGGGTGTTCAGCCACATCTATTTCCAGTGTCCAGTGTCCGTCTCTGGCCCAGACCTCCACGCCAGCTCCCAGCCATCGACTAACTGTCTCACAGACACTCGAAAGTCCACAGGCACCTACTCGGCAAATACTCAAGAGTGTTCACTACATACCAAGCGCTGTTTTAGGTGAATATCTTGCCTGGAAAATTCCATGGACGGAGAAACCTGGCAGGATACAGTCCACGGGGTCACAAAAAGTCGGACACAACTGAGCGACTAACACCCACACACACACACTGTTTGAAATGCTTATCCCCTAGACATGCTCCCCACCCCCAGGCTTCACTATGCTCCGAAATTCTGATTCCATTTTACCTTACTGTTCACACCAGGAACCTAGGGTCACCCTGACACCCTTCTTTCCCACCAATCACCAAGCCCTTCCACACGTGCCTTCTAAATCTCTCTCTAATCTACTTGCTTACTCTGTCTCTGCATTGCTGTCACCCGAAGACTAAGCCTGTGGTCCTCACCTGGAAGAGGTCTGGCCCTGCAAGAGACATGTGAAACTGTCTGGAAACATCCATGGTTGTCACAACCTGGGGAGAAGAGGCTGCCAGCATCGAGTGGGCAGGAGTGACGGATGGTGCTCAGCACCTTACAGGGTGCACAACAGTCCCACCCACCAAAGAATGATCAGCCATCAACAGCACTGAGGCTGAGAAACCCTGCCCTGAGTACATGAAAGAGTGAAGGAGTGATGCATACCAAGGGTTTTGTTTTTATATCAATTATGGTTTTGAAAAAATGATCATAATTCAGAATAATTTTTATTGTGGTAAAATTCTATTGGGCCCAATTAGATTATGTTAGAAACTGTCTTATACGTGAATAAAGTGAGCACTTACTTGTGCATGTTCTCCACTCCTATTATGACCATGATACAGTAGGAAATTCCACTTTGTACAAGAAAATGTAAGGCATACCTGTAAAAAGTAAGAGCACTGTTAGAAGGGTTAGAAGGGCCTACACACAAACATCGAGTTGAAATGATTCAGGATAAAAAGTGCTTATGCGTAACTCAGAACATTCCCAGAAAAAAAAATAAGGAAGCGAAACCTCCAAAGCCTAACACTGTGGATACCCTAGAGAAATCTCATCTTACAAGCCCCACAAGGGCTGGAAAAATAAGAACTCCAGAAAGCCACACTTGGGGGCTGAGCATCCCACATTTCCCAGCTACACGAAAGCTCCATGTGGTCCTGAGACTGAAGCATTACGGCTTTTCTATCACTAAGGCACAAGTATGAAAAGGAGTGAGAAACCTGGATTTCAGAATCATCCTGACAGATATCACTTAATTGTTTACCTGACTGACTACACCAATACAGCTGTGGATCTGTAGTAGTCTTTGCAAGTGTTACTTACAAAACAGCCCCAAATACTAAGTATTAGAATTGATTTAAAAGCGGGTACACCCAAATTGATTTACTCTGAAAACACGATGGCTCGAGTCAAATAAGTGTCCTTATACAAATCTAATCAGTCCTTAATTTGCAGTAATCCATCTACAAAACATCCTCACAGAAATAGTACAGTGTTTTCTAATGTTCTAATGTAGAAATACACCATTAAATTAGAGAACTAATTTATCCGTCCATTTCACAAAAGTCAGGCAAAACATGATTTAGATCTCTGGTTTTAAAATCCATCCAGGGGACTCCCTGGGTGGTCCAGTGGTTAAGACTCTGCCTTCTAATGCAGAGGATGTGGGTTCAGTCCCTGATTGGGGAACTAATATCCCACATGCCATGCAGCTACTGAGCCTACACACCATGACTAAGATCCAGTGCAGCCAAATAAATAAATACCTAAAAAAAAAAACCCTCCAAACTATCCCTAAGACTGTGCACACATGCGCGTGTACACACACACACACAAAATGTCTATTTTCTTTCCCCTTTGATAGCATGAATAATGTATGAAAAAATGTTGAAATCACTGTATACAATTTAAAGTATTAATAAGGATCTTAAACTATGATTAAAATTACTTTCTAACCCAAGTGTCATAGAATAACAGGCACCTCCATTGTGGAAAGCTACTTAATTATTTTTTAACTTTCCACAGAAATATTACAAATAAGTAGGCTCCAAGGCAGGTATAGAAGAGACTTACCTTATCCAGTGCATAGAGTTCATCTGCCTGTCTCTTCCTCTGCCTAACACACACACACACACACACACACACACACACACACATACACACACACACAGGGAAACAATGTTGGCCTGGAATGCTACTATAGAACCAGAGGGCCACCAATCAGAAAAACATATGTGTCGATAATCTGAAACAGAAAGGAGCTGGCTACTGTGCCAAGCTCCCTTCTGCAGTATTATGTCTTTCAAGTCTCACAACCACCACTGGTTCCATTTTACAGGTGACAAAAGTGATGCTAACCAGGCTGAATAACGTGTCCAGTCACAGCGCTGCCAGACTGAGGCACCCACAGTGGAATCCAGGTCTGTCTGGATTCAGTCTAAGCTCCAGTCCATTACCCTGCACTGCTGTCAAATAGCTAAACAAGTAATTACAGGTATAAACTAATTCTCAGTTAAAAGAAATTTATAAATGATGATTCAAAAAAAAAGCTGAGGCCAAATACAAGTAGGTAAGAGAGTCAATTATATTTAGGCAACCACTAACAGTCTTCCAAAAGACAACTTGTCACAATCAATAGGAGACAGGATTGCCTTTGAGGCTAACAAAACAAAGTGCTAAAATGCAAAACAGAAGGACACTCTACTTCCCCACTTATATCAAGTAGCAAAGAATTATCTTTTACCTGGTGCAGAGGCATAAACAATCTCTTTTTCCAAAGAAAGGAACATAAAAAGTTTCTCCTTCAAGAAAAGAAGAGAGTACGCTTTTTAAAAATCCTAGTTATCACATATAAATTGACATACTTATGACCACCTGACCTTAAGGTGAGCTCCTTGGGACACTGGGATAGAGCATCTGAGAAGACCTCAAAGCAAGAAAGCACCCTCCCTCATCAGTAAACACCTCTCCCTCCAGCAGGACTTCCAGTCACACAGGCCCAGGAAACACGGATCACATCTCAGCCTTCTCTGTGTCCACAGACCACAAAGTGAAGGGTGTCTGGAACTGGTCACTGTGGACAAGCCTTCTCCACCCCTTACAACATGCTGTCAACAATGGAAATGCAGTCATAGAGCAAAGACTTTTGGACATAGTTGGGGCGAGAGAAGGTGGGATATTAGAGAGAGGTAGCATGGAAACATATATATTACCATGTATAAAAGGGACAGCCAGTGGAAATTTGCTCTATGATGCAGGGAGCTCAAGTCAGGTGTTATGTGACAACCGAGAGGGGAGGGGTGGGGAGGAAGGAGGGAGGTAGGGGACATACGTATACCTGTGGCTGATTCATGTTGATGAATGGCAGAAACCAACACAATATTGTAATTATCCTCCAATTAAAAATAAAATAAAATTTTTAAAAATGAAGGAAAAACAAAAAATATGCTGACAAAATACACGTTGAACACTGACATATGCATGGGTAAAATGTGTAAACCAGGATATGCTTGCAAATACTCCAGAAAAATAAGTTGAGGAAAGAATGAAATAAGGATGGTGGAATTTTAACAATTGTTGAAGCTGGATAATGGGCATTTGAGGGTTCATTCTATTATTTTCTGTTACTTTGCATTTGAAAAGCTCTGTGAACCAAAGTTAAATACGCACACATACACACCCATGGCATGATTTAAGATAAGTTTAAATAGAAATCCCTTGAGAAACCAAAGAAAACTTTGATGTTATCAAGGAAGGGGAGAAACCATGCCTAGATCTGATTTAAGAAATCGCACAGAAACCCTGGGACTCCACACACACCTACCATTGGCAGGGCCTATCAGAGGACTGGTCACGGGGCAACAAGGCAGAGAAGGAATAATTAATCCCTAATTGAATTTTCATGAGTTTCTAGGACACGTACACAGTTGCCAGAGGAAAAATCTAGATTAAGAAATACCAGTATATTTCAACCCTCCCAAGACTCAAAAACAACCTCCAAGAACAAACACGGAGGCATTGTCAAAACCACCAGTCTACAGCCCACAACAGGAACTACCCTAAACCATCCATCAAGCGATTGCATTGGCATTCTCTCAGGGAATCTGCATCTCAAACAACAATCTGCCAAAGAGCAAACACAGCCACTGAGCCAGCAGCATAAGGTCTCAGATGAGGAGATGGTGAAGGACAGGGAAGCCCTGGCATGCTACAGTCCATAGGGTCACAAAGAGTCGGGCACAACTGAGCGACTGAACAACAAGGAAAATTTCGGAGGAATCACCAAGAATCCTTCTCTGCTGTTATGCCAAGACACTGTGCTTTCCTCCTACAACCACCGTCATCTGGGACAAAGAGGAACTATGAAGCATAGTCCTGATAATGAAGAAAGGAGCAAAGTGGAAGAAACTCAGACACATGGAGCATCTGAAGGGCCATAAATAAAAGCTTTCCATTCATAAATAATTCTTCCCCACCAAAACCAACCAAACAAAAAACCTCATTTGGCTAATGGTAGAAAATAAAAAAAGATAACAGAGTTCTATTGGGCTTTACCAGTCTCTTAAAAGCCACTGGCACAGTAAGGAACAAGTTATTTTAAATGGTTCATTTGCCCTGGCATAAAAGATCTGCAAAATAGGTGGAAGAGCTATTCATGACAGAATAAAATGTCTTGATGTCTTTTTTCTTCATCTGTCCTTTTTCATAAGTTATAAACAGTACACTGTCCTCCAAGCTCAAACTGAAGAGACAGAGCTTTCCACTCTTTATCTTTTATCCACTCTTTATCCACCTTCCACTCTTTATCTTTTCTATTAAAAATAAAAAATGTGAAACGTTATAGGTAAATATAAGAACAAAACCCTACATAATGTATTTTTCTACACAATTCACAAAGACATCCAAAATCTTCATTAAATGTCAAAATAATTACTTACCATCCAAAGCAAAAAAGTGCAAGATAAAGGCCCAAAAGGGTAGCAACGACATGTCTTATAAAAGAGCTAGTTTTGCTTGAATGTAGGTAAGTTCGAAACCAAATGGCTGCTAGCAAGGCAAAGAGTTGGCACACTACAAAGTTGACCTGCAAAGAAAAATTAAAATTTTGTATTAGCAACACAGACTTGAATTTTTGATTTGATGTTACATTAAAATTCTCATGACAAAAACACCAAGGTTACTTAAAGTTAAGATCTTCCAGTTTGCTAAAGAAATGAAAACAGAATCCAGGGCGTCTTTCCCAGCATGACAGCCTCAAGTTTAGAGGGAAGGGCTGACGCACACGTCAGTGCTACACGCAACAGGGACACTGGCGCCCAGCGTGGGGAGAGGCTGGGAGGGGAAAGCACAGGGTACCATATGGTTAGAGGGAAAGAGAAACTTATTTTAGTGACTTGGGCAACCCTGCAACTGGTAGAGATGAAGAGTTCTGAGCTTCTCCTAAATTCCTCTGGGTTAAGATCCAGTCAAGATCCTTGAGAGTCTGTGGGATGCACCCTCTGCCGTTAGGAGTTTGGTGGCATCCCTGGCAGAGGAGTCAAGGGGATGCGACTGGTCTAAAGTCAGCCCTGAAAGGAGCCACGTGTCTCAGCTCCGGGGGCCTCAGGGACTGGTCCAGGAGGTCAGCAGGTGAACAAGGGGAAGGAGCCCCCAGAAAGCCGTCAAAGAGACCACCCCTGAGCCCACCAAGGCCAGTCCTTAAACGTCCTCATAACGACAGGGACAACATCACCCTCTATTTACAGGAATGAAACACAAGCTGGTAACAGGACTGCAGCTCCTTTTTATCCCTTAACTTTTTAACATTTCTTTTGCCCTCACAAAATGATTTTTTTTAAAAAAAAAAGACTACAAACAAGCCTCTCCTGTGGTATTAAAGACTCGAGAAAAACCTCCTTTTCTGTCTCTTATGAAGTAGGTCCTCCTAGAACACTAAGAAACATGGGTCTTAAAATCTACAAACAAAAGAAAAATCCATTTGACATTAGGAACCTCTAAGAATCACGTAACAACAAGAAAACCACTGTTTCAGGAAGCTAAATTAGGAATCAATCGCCCAGCCACACGTCAGTACCGCCACAGATCCACAGAGATATCTCTGCCCAGAGACACAGACAACTATGTGCTTTTTCTTGCATTACAAGGAGAAAAACAGTTGGACATTGTTGTACATTGCCTGAGAGACCATTGTTCTTTGAAACAGTTAAACTCAATACAAGCAAAATGTCATTCCAACAGGTTCTAATAAGCATTTTTTTTTCTCCTAAAGGGTTCCAAGAATACTTTTTTAATTAAGCGAAAAGTAGATATACCAGAAAAATGAATACAGATGTTAAAAACTACTCACATCTACAAAGCTTCCTACAGTTTAAAAACTTTCTTTCAATTATCTTGTAATTAAACAAAAACGCATGGAGCATCTGTTCTGGGCAGAGCACAGGAGTCATAAAATGCTGACATTCCACTGCTGGCCCTGGATGAATTCAGAATCTAATGAAAAAAGGAAACATGTATACAAGGAAGAAACGTCAAGTCAGGTATTAAAGGCTGGACAGAAAGTACTCTGAGGACACCCTAAAGGAGAGGGCATGAAGGAGTGACTAAGTAGGTGACATGAGACACAATGCCAGCGGAGCTCAGTAACCACCGAGGACTCGCTGCCTCCCTCTCCATCCTCCCTCTCTTTTCACACTTGTCTCACCTAAAACAAGCAGTGAATTACTGCAGGAGCATTCCAGAACCGCTGCCTGCAGAATTCTGTTACCTCTATAACCATTCGTTTCAACACAGTCATCTTACAGATAAAGAGAATGAAATGAGACCTCACACTCCAGACACTGAATAGGTGCCTTTGGGGGCAGGCACCAAAATCGACAATTCAAAAAGAAAAACACAGGTCCCGGTCATCCTCCAGGGGTGAGAACCACTGTGTCGGAAAAATCAGAGAAAGGGCATCTTCAACAAAAACCAAAGAACCCAAGGTGAAGGAAGCACTCACTGAGGCTTTCTGAGTGCGGTGGGAGCAGTGGGGGAGGGGGTCCAAATGCGGCGGGCAGGGGGAGGGGGGTCAGAAAGTGGGGGGAGGGGGTCTGGAATGCAGTGGGGGGTGGCTGTTCGGAGACGGAGGGGCTCCACATGCCACGCAGAGGCACTCAGGGTTGAGACCACGTATGACGCAAAATACGGGTCATTTAAGAGTGAGTGATGGGACCCAAGCCCTGCGCCCACCGATCAGGGACAGAGCAAGGGGTGCACTGAACAGGCTGGAGGCCAAGGCTGGTCCGGCCTCCTCGAACCAGGAGGACGGCGCGGGTTCAGAGAATGTTTGGGCCATCAGGGAAGTGACCAGGGCCTGAGAGGCCAGGAGAGGCCGCCAGCACCAGGGGACAGAGACATGAGCCCATGCGGGGGGCGAGGGTCCAGGGAAGAATGAGCCCCCCTCGCCTGCGCTCAGTCCCAGAGCACCGGGGGGCCAGCGCGCACACTCGAGCATGTCCGGACCCTCCAAGCAGATACGCGTCTGAGAATGATGCACACGGCTGAAGGGGGCGCTGTGGAAGAGACGGGGGACCCAGGGCAGAACCCCACAGCCTGCAAGCCATGGCCCGGCCAGGTCAGGGCTGCAAGGACGGCGTGCTGTGTGAGGCAGGGCAAGAAGAGGCTCGCGAGGCCGTGGGCACCGTCAGGCCACAAGGCGCAAGAGCTGAGACCAGCCGCCTGAGTTGGCAACTGCAGCTTCCCCAGGGAGCCTGGTGACGGCACATCCAGGGCAGAAGGCCACAGATGAGGAAGCGAGGGCTCCGGGTTTAGATAACCCGGCCGTCAATAATGCAGACCTGATCCATGAGGGGCCAGGACTGCTGTGCAGGAGACAGACACCTAGAAGCGTAAAGCGGGCTCCTGCTCCGAAACTAGGGAACACAGAACTAGGGTTCAGCTTGAGTGCCCGGAAGCGAACCCCAGGAGCAGGTGCCGTCGATCACCCTGATGGGGGGACCCAGAGGCACACCTGGTACCCAGGCCTTGGAGAGCCAGGCTGCAAAGGAGACGGACTCAGCCCATGAGGCAATGGTGGGAGCTCCAGGAGAAGGGACTAGCACAATTGATATCAAGCAAAAATCCTCGAGGACAGGCAGGTGGGAACATCCAGATTGTTCCTTTATACAGAAGGAAAGGGTACATGCCCAGATGTCCAAACAGCACTTGTGACTTGAAACCATGTCTTAGTCATTGTTTCACGGGTGGGGTAGGTCACGGAAGGCAACACATGCTGGAGACGAGAGAGAACAAGGACAAAGGAAGGGACCTACAAGGCCGGGATGGAGAGCCAACACGGGCGGGCACTCTCCCCTGCTTCTATCCTTTGATTCTCAAAACGAGGGGCTGCTTCCCCAGTTCATTCCACTAGCTCAAGGTCACCTACAGTAACAGTGAGCACCCGGGGCTCCAACCCAAGTCTGAGTCTAGGCTGCTTCCTGGCTGCCTCTCTACTTCTAGAGAACATCTGAAGGTCCAACTTGATGGCTATGGGTGAGACCATGTAAGGAATTTGTGATCTGCAAAATACACCCATTCTGGTTAACAAAATGCCAACACCTAATACACACAACGGGAAGCGAAAAACAAAGGAGAAAAAGAAAGATACCCAATGGAATGCAGAGTTCCAAAGAATAGCAAGGAGAGATGAGAAAGCCTTCCTCTGAGATCAATGCAAAGAAACAGAGGAAAACAACAGAATGGGAAAGACTAGAGATCTCTTCAAGAAAATTAGAGATAACAAGGGAATATTTCATGCAAAGATGGGCTCAATAAAGGACAGAAATGGTAGGGACCTTACAGAAGCAGAAGATATTAAGAAGAGGTGGCAAGAATACATAGAAGAACTGTACAAAAAAGATCTTCACGATCCAGAAAATCATGATGGTGTGATCACTCACTTAGAGCCAGACATCCTGGAATGTGAAGTCAAGTGGGCCTTAGGAAGCATCACTATGAACAAAGCTAGTGGAGGTGATGGAATTCCAGTTGAGCTATTTCAAATCCTGAAAGATGATGCTGTGAAAGTGCTGCACTCAATATGCCAGCAAATATGGAAAACTCAGCAGTGGCCACAGGACTGGAAAAGGTCAGTTTGCATTCCAATCCCAAAGAAAGGTAATGCCAAAGAATGCTTAAACTACTGCACAATTGCACTCATCTCACACACTAGTAAAGCAATGCTCAAAATTCTCCAAGCCAGGCCTCAGCAATACGTGAACCATGAACTTCCAGATGTTCAAGCTGGATTTAGAAAAGGCAGAGGAACCAGAGATCAAATTGCCAACATCCACTGGATCATCAAAAAAGCAAGAGAGTTCCAGAAAAACATCTATTTCTGATTTATTGACTATGCCAAAACCTTTGACTGCGTGGATCACAATAAACTGTGGAAAATTCTGAAAGAGATGGGAATACCAGACCACCTGACCTGCCCCTTGAGAAACCTGTATGCAGGTCAGGAAGCAACAGTTAGAACTGGACATGGAACAACAGACTGGTTCCAAATAGGAAAAGGAGTACGTCAAGGCTGTACATTGTCACCCTACTTACTTAACTTATATGCAGAGTACATCATGAGAAACACTGGGCTGGAAGAAGCACAAGCTGGAATCAAGATTGCCAGGAGAAATATCAATAACCTCAGATATGCAGATGACACCACCCTTATGGCAGAAAGTGAAAAAGAACTAAAGAGCCTCTTGATGACAGTGAAAGAGGAGAGTGACAAAGTTGGCTTAAAACTCAACATCAGAAAACTAAGATCATGGCATCCAGTCCCATCACTTCATGGCAGATAGATGGGGAAACAGTGGAAACAGTAGCTGACTTTATTTTTCTGGGTTCCAAAATCACTGCAGATGGTGACTGCAGCCATGAAATTAAAAGACGCTTACTCCTTGGAAGGAAAGTTATGACCAACCTAGACAGCATATTAACAAGCAGAGACATTACTTTGCTGACAAAGATCCGTCTAGTCAAGGCTATGGTTTTTCCAGTGGTCATGTATGGATGTGAGAGTTGGACTATAAAGAAAGCTGAGCGCTG